TATCGGATTCTGTCCATACTAAAGTCGCCACCGGTCTCTCCGACTTCTCCTTCTGGATGGCCAGTCATCAGCTCACGCTCAACAGGGCTAAAGCAGAACTCTTCATCTTCCCCCCAACCTGCTTGCTACTTCCTTTTCCGATCTGTGTGGGCCACACCACCACCTAGGTACCAGCTTTCATTCAGACCTCTTTCTAGGGCCACATCCAGGGTATGTCTAAATCTTACAGACTCTTGCTGCAGAAAATCTCGAAGATACAGCCCTTGCTATCCATCCACATGGCTAAAACTCTCATCCTCTCACACTGCAATGACCTTCTCTCTGGCCTTGACAAATGCGGCCCGGCCCCCCTCGTATCCATTCAGAAAGCTGCGGCAAAGATCATTCTTCTTGCCTTGCCGATGTCCCCTCTCTCTTTACGTCCCTCCACCGACTCCCCGCTTCTGTATCACAGCAAACATAAGCTGGTTGCCTTCGCTTTCTAGGCCTTTCACAGCCTACCCCCGCCCCATCCGCTCGCTCACTATCCTGATGTTGCTCCCACCTCCGATCAGCCCATGACGCCAGCCTCCAAACACGCACTTGTTAAATTTTCATGCAAGCGCCTTTGTGCTTTCTCCAGTGCTCCCCATAAACAGCAGCAAAGCCACCTCCTTATCCACCTTCAAATCCCCCCTTCAAACTCTCCTTTCTGTGCACTTGCCAAAAACCTGTCAGTGGTTACGCTGCTGGTGCACGGAGACCACTGCCTGTCACGTTGACCAATAGCGTCTCACTGTTTCCTAGTGCTCCCCACCATCTGTGGTCTCCTGTCTTGTGCTTCAATTGCAAGCTCTGTGGGGCCGGGACCGTCTTTGATCTGTGTTTGTACAGCCCCTAGCACAATGGGTCCCAGTCCATGCCTGGGCTCCGAGATGCTACAGTAATACAAAGAACAAATACATAATAGTTGTGGAGAGTGGAGGCTCCCTACCTCTGCCCCTTGCCCTGTTTACGCCCCACAGAGCAGAATCTAGTCCTATATTATCATTCTCTTTCCTGTTCCACACGTCACCTTCCATGACAGCACCCCACTTCTCTGTGACAGGTCTGAACTGCAGCCATCCCTTGGGACCATTCCTGCACAATTGGCACGGGGGGAATATGGGGACTAGGCTTGAAATAGCACCAGGGACTAAGGGACAGAATTGGCACTGGGACCACTGCAGATAGAAGGAAGGCAGGCCCCTGAAGAGGATGAGTCCTTCACTCTTACGGATCTGCCACTACTGCCGGGACACTTACTTGTCAATCAGGGTCTGCTCCGCTTCCTCCTCTCGGAACAGGAAGTCGTGCATCCTCTCCCTGTAGTTGAGGTGGGTGATGGGCGTGTTCGCAGCGCTGCCGGGCCGGAACTCCAGCGAGAGCGCTGGCGCTTTGTACTTGGCTAGCAGGTCCACCTCGTCACTGGTCATCTCCACGCTGGGAACGATCACCCGGTTGCCGCTGTGCCAGCGCTGAAAGTTCACAAAGCGGCTGCCCTCCGTGCCAGCCGGGACGTGCCGGGGGAGCTCCCGCTTGCCGATCTTGGCCTGGATTTTCCGCACCAGGACGGGGCGGCTGCCAAAGTCAAAGACAACCCACTGCTCATAGACTCCGAACGTGCAGCACTCCATGCAGACCTCCACCAGGCACGAGAGCTGCGGTGACGGCAGAGCCTTTAACCGCTCCCCCCGGATGTAGGTGAGGCCCCGCGGGAACCCGTCCCCTGCTAGGAAGAAGGTGGCTCCGGGATCTCTCTTCAGTAACGCCACGTGCCTCAGAGGCATCTGCCAGTTAGAAGGGAACAGAATACCCGGTGAAGAGAACCTCCCTGCATGAGACCCGCCGTCTGACCACCCCCTCTGTGAAAACCCAATAAAACTAAACAGGGAATGAGGTTTTCCCCCCCAATCACCCTATGGAATTCCATAGCAGGGAGAGAATTCCTACTGGAATCTACAAAATGGCCCCATTCCCTCTTCAGTTCTAGAGGGGTTTAGAGTGATTCCTAAGGACCTCTGTGGGGTTTCATCCCTATTAACCTCTTAAGGAATTGTCCATAAAGGGTCAGTCCTGGGACCTAGCAAAGAGCAAGCAAAAGGAACAGAGATGGAACGAGCAAGACAAGATCCCTCCCTGGCCACATTCCCTCCCCACAAAGCCTGTGCAGGCGGAAGAACGTTTTATTTTGTCCTGAGCACCACAGCGGGCAGTAACGGGGCTCGGTCAGCACAGCCAGACCCACCTGCCCGATAAATGCTCGGCCCGTCCCCAGCCCTGCTTTCAGAGCCCCGGCCCAACACAACCCAGGTCACAACCGTCACACCTCTGGACAGGAGCTCTCTCCCGCTCTCTGCTCAACAGGCCCCAGGGCTCCGGGAACAGAGCCTCATCTGCATGCCCCAACCTCCTCCCACTCCTTAACTGTGCAGAGACTCTCTCCAGCAGCCCCTGGGGACGGAAGAGCAGGCAATTCTCTACCGGCGGGAAGAGCGGACTATGTGGGGGGACAGAGCCGGTTTCAAACCTCTGGACTTTCTTTACAGAGAATCCGACTTACCTGGGAGTGAACTTTGAACTTCCACCAGTATCGCATCTTCCTGTCCTCTGAATGCACCCGCATGGGCTGCTCGCAGGTAACCACCACGCCATCCACCTGCTCAGAAAGCTGACGGAAAGGAGACAAGAAGAGCCTCGTGTTTCACCTTGCGATCGCACCCTCACAGCGCCTGCCAGTAAGCCCCAGCACCGTCAGCTGTAGCAGGGCAGCCGAAAGGGCAGGGCGAGGGATTCGAGCCCCCGTGCTTCTCGCCAGCGTAGCCAGCGAGTGCTTGGAAAGGTGGAAGGACACACGGCAGAGCAGGACAGCTTGATGCACAGGGTGTGTTCTTTAACAGGCCTACTCCTGCCTCAGAGGAGCCTGGGAAAAGGGCAGCGCGGGGCGCGCTGGGGGCTGGAGGGCAGGGGCAGCACACACATTCAAGATTAAGTCTCAAATACATTTTTAAGATCTAATTTACATTTCACCATTTATCCCCTTCATTTGCTTTCTGCCTCTCTCATGGTCTACAATGAAAATGGTCTGAACTCGTTATATTCACTTTCATTTCTAGTCCACTTCGCTTCCAGGCTCACATGCATTAGCCCCCGGGGTGCACACCCTGCAAGGGAAGCATTATGTAAGATCGGGCCGCGGGGGTGATCGGCCCATACTGCTGATGCAGGTGGAGAGATATTGGGATGCACTTTTCCAAGAGCCTCTGAAAACACCCCCTTCAAACGTGCAAGTGCACACGGGGCAGCCAGGAACTCCTGCACGCAGCCAGCCAGTGCAAATGCAGGGATTTTGCATGTGTTAATGCTGCCGCCAGGTTTTCGCAAGGCCCTTTATCAGGATTCAGCTTTAAGCAAACTCAAAACCCTTCCAATCAGCCGGATCATTCAGGTGCCCCTCAGCCAGCGTCCAGCCAGCAGATGGTGACGTACAATGAACACCTCGTTGCGGCACTCCTTGTACTCAGCAATGAGACGGTCCTGGTAGGAGAGGAGCCCGTCTCTCTTGGCGGATTTCTTGTTCCTCTCGACAGTCTTCGCTCTCTGGATCCACTCCTGCAGCTCCTCTACGGAATGGGCCTTGGTGCACCGTTCACCATATTCGCAGATGTCCCCTCTGTGGGGGAACAAATTCCACATGCAAAACAAAGCACACAGGATACTCTGAACAGGCTGAGACTGCATGGGGAATGAGGCACCCCCCGCCTCCTGCACAAGGATTAACTGGGGATTCCTAACAGGCCACAGTGCTGGCAGAACTGGGACCAGCAGTGCCCCGCTGGCAGTAACCAGTCAAGCATTTTGTCTTCTGTCGTCATCTCAACTTGCTCTGGCCAGAGTTAGGTGACGTGGCAGTAACACCACCTGCACCCTCCATGCACAATCGCTTCCCCCATTGCCAGCCCAGCTGGTGCTGCACCCGTGCGGAGTTATAGGTCCCGACTACCCAGAGATGCCCCAGGCAGGTTCTTCACCCTCTTCTCTTGAGGTCAACAAGAGCCCAGGCCAAGGAGGCACTTGAAAATTAACTTCCCCCAAACTTACCCCCTTGTATCCTCCCTGTCCTAATAAGGAACCACCCCAAGCTGGATCCTGCTTCATTTTACCCTGCTAGGAGACCATACACCCAAAGTCCCTGCTTGGTTCAGGGAGAGATTTTTAACCCTTTCTCCTCCAAATACGGGGCAGGTTCTGTACACACGAGAACTGTCACACCCCAAAGGGACATCAAACATTAGGCCAGCTGGGTTGTTTCTCTAGACAGATGATCTAGAATCAAGTCATCAGCCCGCTGTGCCCCCTCTGCAGGGACCCATGCAGTTTGCTCATTGCCTGCTAGGCAAGGCCGGCTGCGCAAGGCTGCCCCCTTACCTGTTGCACAGTGTGAATGTGATCAGCCCGTAGGGAGGCGTGCGGTGAGCCCACTGGATCATGGTGTCGGCCGAGACCATCTGCGCATGCTCCACCAGGGAGCAGTGGTTCTCGAAGCTCTCCTGGGAGCTGAAGGTCACCAAGCAGGCCCGGCAGTAGAACTGGACTTGGGGTTGCGCTGGCTTGTCGCCGTTCTCGCTGCCCGTCACCACGGTCGGCAGCAGGTCTGAGCGCACCAGGCCGCGCTTCTGCTCGGCCTCCCACACCGCCATCTCCACCTCGCTGTGCGCGTAGTTACACCGCTGGGCCCCGTGCTTGCACGGGTTGCCTCTGGAGACGAACATGCAGTAGCTGAGCTGTGACATGAACTCCGGCCACGGCCTGATTGCCGTGTACTGCTTCTTCCTCCTTCCGTCGGTCACCACATGGACCAGGAGAGCTTTCCCAGCACCGTGCTCCTCACAGAGCCCAGCCAGCCCCCCGGAGGATATTCTCTGGGGACTTTGGTAAAAGCAGAGTTTGCAGATCTCCTGGAACTGCCCCCCAAACTCGCTCCGGATTTCCCCTGCGGCGCTGGGCGCTTCCTGGCTTGGGAGGCCTTTTGTACTGCCTGCCGTCTGTGCCTGGAGCACCATGGCTTTCAGCACACGCCGCTCCAGTTCGTGCTCTCTCTCGAAGTTCCACACCATCGCCTCCTCCTTGCTGGTGGCAAAGGTGCACTGGTTCCTGTGCCTGTGGCACCCTGAGCCGGGGGAGTAGAATCTGCAGACCTCGTAACGTGCTGGGTTTGGGAAGCCCGGCCTCCTGCCCACCTTCTTCCATAGCTGGCTCCTCTTGCTTCTGCACTGGGCCAGGAGGATCTCATGCATGCAGCGATGCTCCACCTCTCTCCGCCCGTAGGTGCTCTCGTTCTCCCTCACACTGCACTTGGAGCACACCAGACACAGCTCCAGCCGTTTCTGCAGGCTGTCCAGCGTCAGGGGGACGAGGCCGTTAATGGCAGGCATTTTCCCCAGCGGCCAAGGAAAAACAGCTACAAATCTCGAAAAGCAGATCAGATGCTCAGGAAGGCTCCAAGGAGCAGGCAGGGTCCTAGCTCAGTGCGCCCTTCCTGGCCATCCACGCAAGTTTAAAAACCTAGAGAGAAACAAACACCAAGTGAGGTATAAGGGAGCTTAGCCTCTCTCTCTGCTGCGTGCACTTTGAGGTATTAAACAAACCCATCCCAGCTCCTCGATTTCCTGAAGTGAGCAAGGAAAAATGCATCATCTTGGCCACAGCAAAACCAAACAAAACCACCCACTCAGCACTTGGTCAGATTCTTGTGAAACCAGATGTCTTGCTGTTCGGGCATTAACTCTGCCAGACTGCTGCCCCACTGGGGCGGGGGGAAGGGGGAGAAATGTGTTGTCCTTCAGGACATGTACCACAGTCCTACAAAACAGACAGAAGGGCCCCTTCATTCAGTGACTGCTGCCTCCAGCCCATCGGTGAACCCACAAGTTACAGACATTCAAGGCATGGCTCCCAGCCTCCCTTGCTGGATGGCCGTGTGGGGCCCTCCCCGTGACCAACTTGCTGTCATCTCTGCAGCCTGGCTGTCCCGTCCTGCTTGGGGCACCTCGTCCTTTCTCTCTCCCTTTTCCATATGTTTTGCTGACTTCCCCCCCCCCCCCCATTCCCCCAGGCACCGCACCGGAAGCCTGCATGCTGCTGGGGGCGGCGGAGCAGTGATTGGTGCCCCAAGGGCAGATTGAGGAAGCCTGGGCTAGCAGCCTGCAGCACTGTAGCCTTAGAGGTCACATGGGAGGCAACAGCACCAACTTGGGATGGGGATGGAAGGGGAATGGGGAAGCTCTGGGGTCCTGCAACTTTCCCCACCCACAGTGACCCTCTCCTCTGTCTGCAACCCCTGAAATCCACCTGCCCGCTCCTCCTCCGTTTGGGAAACACTGCCCCAATGGACCACCACAGGAGACAGGTATATCCCACTGCAGCCTTCACTGCTGTTCCTTCATTCCACCGGCACCTCTGTGCTTAGCTGCAGCCTACCTGCCCTCAGTGCCTTGATTGAGGGGGGGGGCCTAAGTGCTCAAAGGTTTCCTTTCTGTGCTAACTGCCTCGGGGTCCTGCTGCCTCTTTGTCCCATCAACCCACCCCACCCCACGATCCTACTGCTTCCACCGAAAGCGAGCTTGACGATCACAGCAATGATCCTGAACGGCTGCATCCAAGACCTAGCTAAGGTAGTGATGGGCGCACCAGCAGAAACGAACAAGATCTAGACAGTCAGTTGAGCAAACACCCTGCCGGGCTGCTGAGTGCTCAGAGTCCAGCTGTGCGAGAGGTGACTCACTGCTCAGTGCACAGCCCCATGGGTAACGGGTTGGAAGCCTTTTGCGGGCTGTTGCCTGGGTAACCAGTGGCTGGGAGCGTCCCATAAGCGATACTTCAGAGCTCAGGAGGAAACTGGAGAGTGATGGGGGTTGTGGAGCTGCACTGCTGACAGTATTATGGGGCACTGCTCACAAGGGGAAGGCCCATCCCCGGCCCACCTTGACCACAAGACAAAGCACCTGGGGTAGACAGCTGGTGCAGGGCCAGGCATGTGCCTGTCTCTTAAATAAATCAATCCTTCTGGCACCACAGGCCAGACAAAACCTGAGTTCTATGGCGAAAACCCACATCAATGGCACCTCCAGCCTCTTGTTAGCACCGCAAGGGGTGGAAGCTCCAGAGAAAGGGCTGAAGCTATTGCAAAGAATGAAGCCGAATGCAAGATCTTGCATTCGTTTTATAGAGAAGCTTCTCATTGCAAAGCATTTTCACAAGCAAGGCTCCTTTCACCCACCTCTGGGGTGGAACACAGCAGCTGTTTAACAGCGCACAGAAGAACCAGGCAAAAGTTTGGGATGAGACATAGCCCACCATCCAACTGAAATTGCAGAGGGATTCAGGTAACAGAACGTACTCATGTTGGACTTTCCCCAGGATACAATGGCCAGCCCCCCCCTTACAGATGTTGAAAGCGCCCCAGTATTTTTTATCAAGACCTTCATCTTACCCCATCCAAATGCCTCTCTAGCACCCTGGCATCAGTTCAGCACTGACTCAGAAGGCAGGCGGTGACCTACAGAAACCCCAGATATCCTGCAGCACTCCAAGGTTTTCCTATCACACACTCATCAGGCCCAATCCTCTTTAGCTTCTAAGATGCAGCGAAATCACAGCCCGATGCGAGATCACTTACTGAAGCAGAAAGTAGTCGCTAAACTACCCAGCAGAAAGTCGGTGCATCATTAGAATTTCTCCGTTCGGATTCAGTCACCTACGCTGTGTCTAGAAATAAATCACCCCTGACTCATCTCTGTGTGTGTGTTTCAAAACCTTTGCAGACAACAAACAGAATTAAACTATCAAATCTCACACTGGAAGGCTGTACCTACAAGCTGCATGCCTTTATTTAGCAGGGATGGCACCCTGTCTCTTACTGTACAGGCTTTGTATATTTATCCCTGTAGCCATCTGTTGTCTCCTTAGATGTCGATTGTCAACTCTTTGAAGCAGGGACCGTGTTTCTCAGCTGCAGTCATACCGCGCCTAGCGCAAGGAGTCCTTGGCCACAACCAAGACTCCTAGGTGTGATGGCAAAACAAATCACTGTGAAAAACACACCTAGATACCGCAGAGAAGTGTAAATACAGAGTAAGGCCATAAAGCAAGGACCTACAGGCCTCAGGCCTGTAGGACAGCTAGCTTAGCATGACTAAACCAAGGCCTAAAGCTTTCAGTTAAAAGGAGGAACTAACTGATAAACTTCCCTTTTTGCAGTGCGTTCTAAGGAAAAGTTTTAACGGCTGATGAGTTTAACCAAAACGTACATATACTAACTGCAGAAATACCATAGCAACTGACAGACATAAATGCTAGTGATTAGGATGCCATGGGTTAATTAAACTATGGGAATTAGGAACCCCAATATTATTGTGATGTGGAAGTATGTCTAAGGAAAAGAGGCTGAAACCAACATTGAATACGAGCAGGGATTGGTGTATCCCTTCCTATGGGCGGTGGGATACACTGAAATGCACTAGCCTGATGACTACGCACAGATCACCTGGCCTAGTTTGGGGTTCTTCACCAGGAGGATGTGAGTAATGCAGGTGCTGGACATTCTGTATTGGCTCGGTCTCCTTTGCTATATTACAGAGTTCACGATGTTGTCAGTTTCACAGATATAAAATTTATACCATTGCTAGTCAGAGAACATGGATTGGATTGTTTCTCGCATGCTCCTCAATTTAATAACAATTTCACTCCTGTACCTGATCTGGAGGCAGCAGCCTCTCAGGCCACCGCATGTTAAGTAGAATCAATGCCCATTTGCCGATTAGGCTACATAATAAATAATCATATGACTGTTCAGCACCAAGCACAACTCGGCTTTGTTTCCTGGAGGAGCCGCTGGACACTGCAGCAACACAGATGTAAAAGAAGAGACATTATTTTCCAAGCTGGTGTGGATGGTGGATTGCAAGGAGCACAAGGGAACACTCAAAAGGCCGTTTCTCAGACCATACTGATCAGAAGAAGGATGCTCTTGGGGTTTAGGAGATCTGGTTCAATCCCTGCTCTGGCACAGATTCCCTGGGTGACCATGGGCGCGTGATTTCACTTCTCCGCGTCTATCCACCCATCAGCACAATGGGGATAACAAGACTTCGCTTTTCCCACCCTTTGCCCATATAGATGCAGAATGCTCCCGACTATCCGAACAGCAGCGGAGACATGGATTTTATTCAGATAATCAGGAGTTCAGGTAACAGAGAGGGCAGGAGCCCTCCCATGACAGCAGGGCTGCAGAGGGCTCCATGCACTGTCACAGGAGCCATTCAGCTGCTGGGAGACCCCCCGCCCCCAGCCCGGGGACTCTGCTCTCTTATCCAAACCTCCATATGACCCGAATCCCTCCCTTGTCCCCCCCAGAACGGACAGGGCGGAGGTTTGGATAATAGGGCTTTGGAAAATGAGGAGTATACTGTACACTGCAAGCTCTTTGTGGCAGGGACTGTCTCTTCCCAGCTGTATACGCAGCACGTAGCACAGAGAGCGCTTGGTGGGGACGCTACTGGGATAGAAATAATAATTCAGAATAGCTCTAATCCTCAGCACCCTTCGCACTGTGGTCTGGTCACTGATCAACCCTCACACCACCCCTGTACGGTGAGTAGGTATGATCCTCCTCACCTGTGCTCCAGGGACACCAATGCGGACAGGTTTTGGGATTAGAGCAGAGATTAGTGCCCAGGCACTCCTGGCTTCCCCAGCTGGGTGAAATCCCCTTCAGATGCTGCTTTCCTACCCTGCAGTCATACTCATACCAGGATTAAAGCAGCAGACGGGCTGACCTCCACGGGTTTCTCAGAAATTCGCTCTAGCAGTGCTAGAACAATTGCTTAGTCTGCCAGCGGTAACAGCGAGCGACTAGACTAGTCCGTTTCCTGAGCTCCCCAAGGCCAGGACAAGTAACGGCGCTGGGAGTGTAACCAAGCTCCCCGTCCACGCGCAGCAAGGAGAAATTCCTCAGGGGCACAGGAGAGTGGCGGCTCAGCGTGGGAAAAGCCAAGGAGGGATTAGGAGCATGTGCATGCTTTGGGGCGGGGCTGTCATTTACTGTGTGTGTACCGGCCCCGGCCCCTAGGAGGCGCTGACCTGGTTAGCCAGGTACAAGTGTTAAACAACAGCACCGGGACAGGCTGATGGGGGACGTGCCATGTGGACTGGAGATTTCAGGGAGTTCGATTAGAAAGCCAGAAGGGACAATTCTGAGCCTCTTGTACACCACCGGCCTCTGGACTTCCCTGCAATAATTCCTGTTTGAAGCAGAGCAGATCTTTTAGAAAATTCTGCCATCTTGCAGGGGCTGCAGAGAGAGAGAGTGTGTGTGTGTGTTCGTTCCTGCCTCGGGCAGAAATTGGAGTACACCGTGCACTCACCCCACAGCAGCTCCTGTCACTGCTCCAGCCACCGTCCTTCTGTGACAC